GATGGTTCCTTAATATATTTTAACTACATTGCATTTGAGTATGGAGAGGCAACTATCTGGAAGTATTTTACATAAAAAATTTACTAAGTATTGCCCGGTTTGTAGTTGCAGTTAAAGAAAACACATGAAAAGGCACGATTTTTTTAAATTCGAAAAAATGTAAATATTTCAAAAACGGTGACACTTTTACCTGAAAATTTTTTGTTTATCAGGGAGCTCAACCTCCCCCCCCCACCTACCTTCCCCTAAAGTTTGGCACGTTATTTCTGGGACACTCTGTATAAAAGATAACTGTCGAACATTTGGAAAAAACGTGAAACACCTTCAACCAAAAAACTTTTTAGAAATCAACGGGATTTTTTACCAGTTTGAAACTCGCCCTTCGTTATACTAGAATGAATGGGCTACAAAACTGCATACCAAATTTTTTCTAAAGGTTGCACAATTTTTATAATTTTTGTACAAAGTTTGAAATGTAAATGTATATTATATTTACAGTAAAACCAGCTAGACTTTTATATAAAAAGAAATCTTTAAATAAACAAAAGACAAATAGCCAAAACTGGTGAAATTATTGCACTCCTATTATTTTGTGGACAACTGTCCGTAAGCACTGAATTTGTTTAAAACAATTAAAATATAGGCATATTTGGTGGAATTGATCACATGGAAAAAAAATTTAGACCCCCCTCCCGAAAAAAATTTCTGTGTTCTATTCGTAGAAAGTGTGTTCAAAAACTCAAATTAATAATAGCAATTTGCGCCACGCTTTTATAATTATAGCTTTCATAAATATGAAAGGTATTACAACTTTGGTCCGATGCTTGTAAGTACCAGAAGAAAAAGAGATACACCCATGAAAATTTACATATATCAGAATGATCAGAACGTCGAGCTGAGAAGATTTATACATGCCTATCTGTCTGTCTTTTTGAACGCAGTCTAGTTTAGTAGTATTGAGACCTCTGACTGCAATTTCGTAAGCGGGTGCCTCTTTATAACTTACTAGCCAATGCCCGCTTGCTTCGCGGCGCCTAATAAGAAAAAACGGTCTGTAAAGAAAAAAAAATGTAAACGACTAAAGAGCACAATCCTCCTCATACATATGCCAAAAATAGTAACGCTTTGATTCAATATGGAATACGAATTCCTTTCGATGTCATGAGCTTTGCCGATGGTCTTATTTCCACCTGTGAAATCTCTGCCAAGCGTGCACAGTCTTCTTTTATCTTGAAACCACAACATTGGTCCGATGCGTAAGACAATAAAAGTCCTTATTAGGGATAAAACGATACCATGGAAGTATCGATACCTGTACTTGAAAGTAGCATCGAAAGAAATTATCGATATTTGTACCTACATATATAAGAATTGCTTGTATAAAAAAGGCTATGGGCCGTTTTCACCATCTCTGGTGAACACTATCCTCCAGTTAAACATCATTATCGATGTTGTCGACTCAATGTTATATGCATGGAGTCAGTAACGTCGGTAACGATGTTTAACTGAGGATTAGTGTTAACCAGAGATGGTGAAAACGGCCCTATCGCATTTATTTGAATCTTTGTCAAAATAGCTTATTGGATATTTGGTTTTAGACGAATGATACTTAATCTTTTTAAGAAAAACTTTAAGTTTTAAAACATGTTTTATAGGAAGTTATAGTGTAGCGTAGATATTCATATCACCAGCTAAGAGTGAAAAGTTGCTTAGTCCATTTGTAGAGAATTTATAGGGGGAAAAAACATTTCAAAACATTTCCTTCAAGAATTTTGCAGAAGATTCCGTTGCAATTAAAAGATTTCGAATTTCTTGCCTGCTTATCGATTTTTCTTTGCCTCTTTTGAACTTAGTAAATTTGCCTTTAATTGAATATAAACGGGAAGAAAGCGCTTACTTTACTATTACTCGAGGATTGTCAAAATTGGCAAAACCCAAGCTAAAAGTATTTTCTAGAGATTCGAATTAAAAAGTTTTCAGTTAAGGTGAACCCTTGCAGATTTCTTTAAATTTTTGTAAAAAGTTTGATCCGAAATCTGAGATCAACCACATTTTTTCTAAATCTACCACATTTTTTTCCCATAATCTACCACACAGAATTTTTTATTAAGTCCAATCACTGCTGTTGGATCGACGCGAGCTAAATGACATACAATTGCTTTCTCTCAAAATAGCTTTTCACCAAGAATGGTGAATGAGAGACCTTTTTTCAAAGACAGTTTTACTAGAATAACAAAAGTCTCTCGAACTATCTTGACATTTGTCTTTTATTTGTCTTGCGAAAGACTTTTTACTAACTTAGCCAGAATTGCACTGTTAGTATAAGCTTTGTTGAAGTAAAATTGTTTATGTGTATAAAGTTAGCGAAACAATATGAAGAAAGTTGTGGAACAAATGTTGTTAACGAAGCGATTTTCTGCCGAAATCTGCAAAAAAATCTGAGTTTTACTAACTTCAGTCCTGCAATTGCCACGCCCATTTTTAGGGGTTTGTCGCATTACAGAAAATTCTTGCCGCACAAATATTATACCTGGATAGGTATTCTACCGGAATCTGTAATAAAATTAAAATTCTTGCAAAAACCAGATGTTTATCACCTTGCTAAATATATCTAATCATAAGTTTTCCAAAACAAATTACAAAAAATTGTTGACTCTCACAATAAAAAGAATCTCGTAAAAAAAAATTATTTTAAAAATAGTTCTTCAAAAACGCCCAGTTTTTTGAAACATGTTTTTATAGAGAATTAAACAAGGAATGCGATGGTATAATTCTAAATCCCTAACTTGCTGGGCTATGAAAATCAACTTCAAAAAATTCAATGGTTAATAGCTAAGTTAGATTTGGGACAATCTTGGCCACCTTATATATAAGAATGTTCTTTAGCTTTAAAATGACGTTAAGATGAAGTCTCTACGATGCGCAGAACCCGGGATATAACCATTTGAAGTAGTATATGATTAGTCAGAATCACGAAAAAATGCAAACTTTGACAGATCATATCCCCGAAGAAAAAAAGGAAAAAACTTCCTCGAACACGTGTTAGCTTATTTCATGTATAGAACCAATAAAAAAATTTGAAGCCAATCGAAAGTGTGACACCAAATTTAGTGTGGGATATGAAAAATAAAGTCTCAGATTTAAGGTGTATTTCTAACATTGTTTTCAGAGACACTTTGTAAGGTTTCAGTTAAAATTACACATCTGTAATTACTGCAATAAAACAAAGGCCTGAAGCAAATATCTGAGTTAATTTATTTCCATTTTATTCTTATTATATATTTTAGTCTTATTATATATTTAAATAGGTTTATTTTGTCAATTGCAACTCTAAAAGCACGACAAACAATTGTTTTGTTAATGTGAATTGCACTAAGCATCATGCCATCAGTTGTTTTTCTTACTGGCAAATAGTTACTAGTAAAAATTTATCCAGTAAAAATCCAGTAAAACTTGCAAGTTCTGCTGTCATTTCTGCTCTCTCAATTTCCCTTCTTTTGCTAGTTTCTTGCAAGTTTTTGCGTACGAAAACGCCATCCAGTAAAATTATTACTCGATTTGACTGGCTGGTTGAGCTCTAAATAAATATTTGAAGGCTAAAATTGTTCAAATACGTGATTTATTTTTTATTATACTTGTTTCTGGGATACTATTGATTGAAATAAATGCAAAAAGAATGCTTTAGCATGACGATCTTCCATTATAGTCCAGCGCAGAGCGTCAATGTTTTCAGGTGTACAAAACGACGGCCTCTGTGGTGTAGTGGTTAGCAGTTTACGCTACCATTCCGCAATGTCTGGGGTCGAGCCCAGTTTCGACCAACATAAAAAACTTTTCAAGAAAAATATTTTCTTTCTAATAGCGTTGGCCCCTCGGCAGGCAATAGCAAACCTCCGATTGTACTGTATACAGCCATGAAAAACAGTATATTGTGTAAGCGCCAATCTATTATTATTATTATAAACCAATGCTGGACGACCTGATCAATTTTCATAGTCGAGCGTAGTACAATGACACTTTAATTCCTTATGTATACCAATTATGAACATTTATGGTATGTTATTACCAAAAGTTGAAATAAGGTCACCGAAGCACTGTTATTTTGTTAAACCTCGTCGAAGGTTGTAAACAATAAACCAACGAAAATATTACAACTTTATGCGTACGTTAATGCCACAAATAAGGTCAGTTCGACTTAAATTACATTCGTGTTGTGAATTCTGTATACTTGTTTAGTGACCCTAGTATCAAAAGCAAAACATTTAAACGTGATTTCGAATTAGCGTATGTACTTTTTTCTTTCATATTCAAACGATGTATTTTTTTCAGAATATACGACACACAGCTAGTTAACCCATATGACGTTAAAACACCAAACTCTTGTCAAACATTTTTGGAAGTGCCTTCGACAGAAAACAGGATTTTTGCCTATGTATACAAACATATGTAAGGACTTTTTTCGTTTTTCCTAAAAACAAAGCTCAATTGTTGAAATAAATACATACATATTATAACTCCACAATAATACTAACAAATTTGTTTAGAATGAGCCTGCCTAAAACTATGAAATACTTCTAATTACTGTATTTATAGAATTTATAATTAGTCTGTTCGATAACCTGATAATTATTACAAACGCCAAAACGCGAAGAGCGTTCGCGTACGCAAAAATTTGCAGGCAGGAGAAATTGAGGGAGCAAAGTAACAGTTTATTTAAGGGGACGAATTAAATATTATTATGCCACAAATATAATAATAAAGGGATTTACTACTGCGGCACCACCCGGCTTGAACAACGAGTCCAGAAAACAGTATCATTGCGGGCGCTTAACGCAGCCAGAGAAATGTCAGCTAATCTGCTGAAGATTACATACATACATATATTCAGTCACCCGAGATATTTATGTACAATAGTGTTTTTGTACACACGTGGCGCGGTTTTTATGTTTATTTAATTTTGCAACAAAAAATGTGCCTTTAGTGACTTACGCCAATGGAAAGTATGTTGGTAATGTGTAGGCATCCATTCCTTTTTGCTGTAATCATGTGAGTGATGATCTGCCGGACTTTTACTTTTTACACAGATGAAGGCAATGCTCCCGTCTGGTTTTTTCCTTTTTTGTTTTATTGAAAGCTTAATGGGTTAATTTTAAAGTATGCGTTGATAAAGCTGAAGACGTCATTGCCTTTTGTACGTATGCATGGGGATGTACGTGTGAATGTGCGTCGGAAGTTTTATACATACTATTGACAACTACAGGTCTATTCTGCACTAGTAACACAAATTTTGTAACCAAGAATTAAAGTTTAGGTAAATTTTTAAACCCTTTTCGTTTTCTGCTCACTCTTGTAGCCGGTGAATTTTGTTACCATCTTATAAGGTGGTAACAAAAACATAGAATTGCGGTTACAAGTGCTATACATTTTTGGTAATGAAATTTTCGGGTTACAAAATCATCGGTAACGTGCAGAATAGACCTACTAAGCGCCGATAGTGTGCCTCAAAGGTTTTGGCATTTTTGCAGCATTTCGCGCGCTTTTCACGACACTTTATTTTATTTATTTATTTCCATTATTTATTTTAACAGACCACAGAATTTGTTTAAAATTTGTCACAATTTTCTTTTTTGTTTGCTATGTTTTCACATTCCTTAGGAACCCTGCAACTGTTTTCTTCAATATATTATTTTTCAAACATTTCGTATTCACTTGCATTATTTTTATGCACTGTGCGCTAATTGGTTGATGCCGAAAATAGAGTTGTTATCAGGATAGTGTGGCGGGGGATAGGTGCTTTGCCGTCGGCTGATTACGCCATTTGGCGTTGTAGTTGCGACTGGGATTTATTTTGATAGATACGTCCCATTTGCATGCCAATGGAGCTCACATTCGCATTCTTTGCACAATTAAACTTAGGGCATATATTTGCTGAAGTGCACTTATGGTTACGTTTATTGATTTTTTAGGTTAGGTGTGTGATTTGTTTCTTTTGTGGTTTTTTGTGTATAAGCACCACTAACTAAAATAAAATGTTTTATTAAAAAAAACTATTTCCAATTTAATTAAAACACAAAAAACCTATGGCCATGTAATTTGTTTGTACGTGCGTGTGTGTGTGCGTTTGTGACAAGGTGGACAAATTAAGCGCGTGCGTGCACCTTATTCTTATGTTATAGCCGTACTGAATATCAGGAAGTCGAGCATGGATGCAAGCGCAAACAACTTGTGTCTGCAATGTTTGCTTACTGTAGCTAGAGCAGAGACGATTTCAAGCATGGACACACGTATGAAAGTACGACGGCGGCGGTAGCAGCAACAAAACAAGACACAACATAAAAACAACAACACCACCAACAACAACATTAGCGACAAAGCCAACGTAAATGTAATGAAAGACAAATACAACAACGTCGAAAACTAACAAAGAGTAAAGGCATGACTAGCAGATACAAAGATAGACGGACATTGAACAACGGACGGACAAACTGGCATACAGACAGATAGTCAGCCAACAAGCCATTCAGACATTGGTGCTGCTGCCCTCCTGATCGTATGCTGCGTCGTGAAAATCAGGCTGGCTGGCTGGCTGACTCGCTGGCTGCTAAGTGCCGGAATTGAGCACAAACGATCATTTGTATGTTCTACGTTCGGTACGTTACTAAAGGAGCCAGAATCTATGTAGCAGAAAAACACACCTACACACCAAGGCAACAACACAGCCACGCTATTACACAGGCATCCCTTTAGGAAATGCGGGCATTCCGCCATGCATGACGAAAGCATTACGCAGAATGAAAGAAACATTCCTCTTATTAGACAAGCGGTCGATGCTTTAGTGGTTAGAAGAGCGCTCTACCGTTCCGGAGGGCCTGGGATCGACTCAGCTTCCGACTAACATAAAAAAGCAAATACATAAAATTTTTTTGTTTTTGTTTTTAATAGCAGTCGCCCCTCGGCAGGCAATGGAAAACCTCCGAGTGTATGTTTACCATGAAAAACAGCTTCTAATAAAAATACAATCGCCGTTCGGAGGTCATTCTCTTTGTGTGACAACATCGACGCACACGCCACAAATCGGACGAGAAACTCGGCCAAACACTTAACACATTGTGCGAGTGCCAATCTATTATATTATTATTATTTCTTTTTGACACGTGATGCCATTGCCCTGCAAAAATCGCGACTACTCCATGCATGCGTGTAAAGAGTACTCCCTAAGGACCAAAGAGTACTCCAAAATTAACCACAATTCATATAAAAAATATGGTCCAATTAACATTGCGATGTCCTAGGGCAGGACCATATACTCCATCCCTGCATTACATCAGAGTAGCACAAAACTACTCCAACATATTAACAATGGGCATTGTTGTTATATTTTTTCGTTTGTACACGCTTTTGTTCTTCACTTCTCAAATGCTTTTTCGAAATTAATAAAAACCAAGACAAAAATTAAAAATTACATGTTGGCTCTGACGGTATTCGAACCCGAACATGCTGGGAGCTAAGAACTAACAGCGAGCATCTCTACACGTTCAGCTACAGCCAGACATGCAAATGTGCTTTCAAATGCTCAACTTCAATCACGTTTCGTTAAAACACGAGCAGTGATCGGATAACAAACAATAAGCTGGCGCAGAGACACGAGTTGGTCCGCTACAGCATGACAGAGGAACACTTTTGTAAGTACTCCAATTTACCACAAATAGAGTACATGGTCCAACGATTTTTGCAGGGTGGGAGGAAATATTCCCCCTCGCTGATTCAGAAAGTCTAGGGAAACATTCCACAAAGCTACGCATAAAATAAATACCGAAATCCTTCCACAAAGCTTCATTTGAATTTGGAAACATTTCAGATAACTTATTTTGGACTCTGTACGGAATTTCCACGAGAAACGATAAGAAATGCTTCCATTTTTTTCCAATAGAAAGCCTTACTCACGACTTCTGTTAAAAGCGAGAAGGAAACGGTATGTTTTAAAACTTCGGAGTTACCGTGAAAAATAATAAGGAATGTTTCCATTTTACTTCCAAGTGAAGCATTTTTCATTTTCCAGTAGGGATACTTGCACTTACATATACTGACACAAACGTACACAAATGAAGACTCGGTGAGTTCCTTGAAAGTACACCGGCGCAGATCGTTTACAGAGTCTTAGCTGAGAGGCGATGAATGGCTTACAAATAAACAAAAAGCGTACAAAAACTCTCTTTTCTCTACAACAGCGAACTCTTCAAGCTGAGCTGAATGCTCTTTTTCTTTATTAATAAATATGGCCTGCTGGCGATAACATTGTTTTATGTCTTCTTTTATGTATGCCCTTAGCACATTAGCGTCGTATTGGAGATGCGAATGAGTTGTATGCTCATGGCTGCGTGCGTGCATGCATGTGTATGATAAGTTTAAATACATATGTATGTACGTACAATCATGCACAGTTATGTATATATGTAGTTACACATCCATATGTGCGAACAGAAAGCATTTACATGAGGGTATGCTCGTTCACATATGCATACACATATATGTATGTATATGCAGTTTCGTTCAAAATTATAGGAGTGATCTGAAAAAAAATTAAGTTTTATTACTTAGCAATAACTTGATTTTGAGATTACGATATTCAATGACGAGTGAGTTAGGCAATCCGAACTGTATTGGAGCACATGTGACTTAGAGCATAATTTCAATCAAAAAATTTTATACTTCGAACCAAAAACATTATTTGAAAGCTTTTAAAAACTGAACACCTATTTAAAAACTGGACCAAAAGTTTTGGTCATTTATAAAATTGAAATATGTATACATTCAGGTTTTTCGTCACTTTAAAACCGGACATGATGTGCAAGAATCTTTGTTTATTAAAAACTGGACCTAATAAGAACCTAGTCATAATTTCTTGTGTCTAAAATGATTCGATTTCAAAAAGCTAGATACAAAATTTAATTTCAGTAATGGTCATAACTTGTTCTTATTAAAAATCTGTACATAAATCTTTAGCTGTTTAAAAACTGGACATAATAATATTTTCTTCTTCTTTTTCTTATTTGGCGCTGTAAACGGCTAAGCGATTTTGGCCGAGTTCAACAAAGCACGCCAGTCATTTATTTTCTGCGCCAATTGACGCCAATTGGAAATGCCAAGTGAAGCCAAGTCCTTCTCCACCTGGTCTTTTCATCTCAGTGGGGGCCTCCCTCTTGCTCTGCTTCCACCAGCAGATTCAGAGTTGAATACTTTCAGAGCTGGAGCCGCTGTATTTTAATTAATAATTCAATATTTTAGTCATTTAAAAACAGTATACGAATTTTTGATAATTCAATAACTGGGCATACATACATTTCTGAACATTCGAAGCAAGGAAATAATTTGTTAATAATAATAAATTGGGCATACATTTTTTTACAAACTGGACATTAGATAAGGTGATCCAAGAAAATTAAAACCGAACAAATCTTTACAGAGCAAGAACATTTTTATGCTATTATTTATTTTTACATAAGACCGCGTTCATGTTAATAGGGGTACTCACTATTGGTAGCATTTTAGGTGTAAAATTGCTGATGTAAAAATAGTTTGCTATCCAACAACAAAACATGTCCGTTAACGCAAAAGATAAAGTCAAATATCATTTCTCGCAGTCCTTTAGCTTATCGTTAATCTCAAAGTTATCTTTTTTCAATAAAATTTTAATTGTTTTCTTGATAATTGCACTGGCCTATAGTCAAAAGATGTAAAGAACAGCATTAATATTTCCGGCGTGAATTTAGGTCGCAGGTTCAAAATACTCTAATCTTTTTTTTAATATTAGGTATAGTTTGCGAATTTTTGCAAATTTAGGAACAATTTCGGTAGCTCTAATAGAAAATCCATTATTTTCCATCAGCGTTGAAAAATTTTGTTTATAAAAATGAGTATGGAAAAACTGAACAGGCACAACTTCTAGAAATACTAATTAGTTTACTTATGATTATGCATATAATACAAAAGTTGCAAATATAGGAAGTTGACAGATATTTTTGTAAAATTTTGTTTATTATTAAATAGTTTTTTTTATAATCTGATAGCTTTTCTTCATATTATTGTCATAAATCAGTAATAGTAAGTCTCGCCTTCAATTTGGTAATTATTATGTACCGATCGAGTAACATTTACCAAAGTTATATCGAAAAACTTAAGTGGATCTCCAGATTTTCTAAAAAAATGTCCCTTAAATTGTATAAATAACTTTTAAATGAAAGAACCGGATTCCAGAAAAGTATTTCAAGAAGTGACTTTTTTCGTTCAAGCTGAATGCAAAGCAATATCGTCCAATTGGATAGTCCTCCAAAGGATTTCCCAGGATATGTTAAAGACTATTGCACATAATAGAATTTACTAAAATATTTATGTATGTCTAAACACTTATTGCACGTCCCCTACTTTCATATAACGGCAAATTTAGAAACCGCGAAAAATGTGCTTCTTCGGTGACTAATGAAATGAAATGGTGCGGAACAATTTTCAAGACTGCATAAATGGACTTAAAATGGGGATTTCTCACCCTAATTCCTAATCTTTGACAATATATGTTTTACTGCATTCACCACGATCTTGAAAACTGAACAATTATATAAACATCCGAAAACACTAAAACGTTTGAAATAAATTTCGTCTCACTTTTTTTATTTTTCACTTGGTTGCTGAGGTAATGGAAAATTTGAAATTCATAAGGGAAAATTATAGTTTTTGTAAGTTTCATCTTAATATCTTAAACTCTTGTAGACTTATTGAAAATGATAAATGAACGTAGGATACTAAATTTAATAGCCCATAATTTGATATATCACCCTGTCACAATTAACGCATTCCATAGATATTACAAGCCAAAGTTTCATTTTCAAAATGCATACATTTTGATTCAATTTCACGGGCTAAAGATAAGTTTTAAATTAATATTTCGTGGCCAATAGCAATTGGCTTAGACCTAAGACATCATAATATTACTATTACAATACGGTCAATTGCCTTTTATTTTTCCCCATACAAAAACGACCCAGCCTAATGTACTGAACAAGAATTAAATACAAGATTGCGATAAAACAAATAAATATAAATGTAAATAAATATAAGCAAAATAGATGTTTCCCCTTCTGACAAGCCTTTCTTGCAAGAACTACATTTTGAGTGGAAAGAATATTAATCGTCATATGTAAGGATGCTGAGTACAAGCGCTAGAATAAAACTAACATGCTTATTATTCGATGCCATGCACTTTTAAGTGTTTGAGTAAGTTTGTCGTATTGTTGCAGTGCCTGATCAATTTGGAGCACCGGGTGCGTGGTGCCAATTGGGTATTG